CTAATCACTCTCATATGACATTGATTCTTTACTCTTGGTTTTCAAGTTCAAGTCTGAGAAGGCAGTGTTATTTTTCTTATTTTCAGATACTTGTTGGGATCAGGAGGAGGGAAGGTTCCTCCTCCTTGGAACCCTCAAATACCAGCAAGAAATCTGATAGAGGGAGGAAGGTGAGCTCTGTGGAGCCCGAGCAGTCGGGGCATTCCGCCAGGCTATTCCTGCATTCTCTCACTGCCTTGGTTGAATGCCTGCTATGTTCCAGGCACAGCTGAGTGTTAGGGATATAATGGTGAGCAAGGCAGACTCGGCCTCTGCCTTCGTGGAGGTTGATCTCGTGGTAGAGACAGATATTAATTAAATCATCCCATTATGTATGGTTACAAACTATGGTCAGTGCTCTAAAGGAGGAGAACATGTGATAGCACAGCACCCATAACACAGGGACCAGAGTGTAGAGTTGGGGAAGGCTTCTCTGAGAAGTAACTTGCAGGAAACAAAGGGTTTAGAAAGGTAGGAAAGATTGTGGAGGGCTGGGTCTGAGGAGGGGAGAGGATTGTGTGTGAGACTGCAAGCTGCTTGAGGAACAGGCATGGGGCGAGTCTTCCTCTTTCCGTACCTCTGGCTCCAGGGTCCAGAAGGTGCTCAGTATAGGTTGGAGCGTGGATTTAAAAAGCTACAGGCAGGCTGGGGCAAGCACAGGGCCTACCTAGAGGGGCCGGCTTTTGTCAGAGATGCAGAGTTCCAGGATGGCCTCTCCTCAAATGCCAGAGCTTCAGGGAGTGGCCTGGGGAAGAACAAACATCCTCTAGAGAAATCCCTGCTCTCAGAAGCATGACAGCTTTTTAGATATTGAACCAATTATAATCAAATGTGTTAGTACCTGGACATCTTACACCAAATATTTAAAGAGAAACTAAAATCAGAATATTCTGTGCTACCAATGATAGCAAATCAGAATTTATGGTGAAAAAAATAGACCTTTTCGAGTTCCTTTAGATTCTCATTTTTCTTAACAGGAGCCTAAAATACCAGGCTCTCTGATTTCCAGCATAGGAAACCCTTATAAAGATTGGGCAGTAACACTGAGAAAGCCTTTCTAGACTCTAGAGCCGCACTAATACAGTAGTCACTAGCTATGTGTGGCTGTTCAATTAAAATTGAATACAGTTTAAATTCAGTTCCTCATTTGCACTAGCCACTGTTTTAAGTGCTCAGTAGCCACATACAGCTAGTGGCTCCTGTATTAGACAATACAGACAGACCATTTCCATTGTCACAGAAAGTTCTTTTGGATTGTGCTGCTCTAAAGCATTTGAGCTTTGTCCTAGGAGTAATACTTTGTAGAGAGGGTGATGAGTCATTGTTGCCTTTCTTCCTGCCTCCCATTGGGTGGTCAGATGGGATGTGGTGCTGAAATTTTTGATGACAGTTTTACAAATCAAGTGTTGGAAACTCACAGGGTTGTCTCTCTTCTTCCTACAGTGTTGGAGAGCTGGCTAGACTACACCGGGGAACTGGAGCCCCCGGAGCCACTGGCCAGGCTTCCGCAGCTCAAGCATTGCATCAAGCAGCTGCTGACGGACCTGGGCAAGGTGCAGCAGATCGCGCTCTGCTGCTCAACATGAAACTGGGCACCCAGAACTAATGGGGGCAAAATCCTGGGGCGCATGCAGGAGGAACTTCGCGTATTTAAATAAATAAACCTAGCATGCTGAATGCACGTGACACCGACTGACTTCAGGGATCTGGGCAGGGGGTGTGATGGACATTGGACAAAGAGGCCGTTTTGGTTGCTGGAGGGCAGAGCACTCTGATCTCGAAGCTACCAAGAGGGTAGCAAATAGACTCTTGGGATTCCCTTCTTCTGTGCACATCGTTGGATGGAGTGAGTCTTTTTGCACAAACTTCACTTGAAATCGTGCCACCGATGATAAATGGAATGAGAGCCAAAAAGTTTCGTTGGAAACAGTTGTAAATTCGACTTGCAGCTTATTTAATTGACTTTTCTGTCAGGTTGGGGCACATGCCAAGCCTTTGGTTTCTGCCTGGCATGGATTTAGGTAGCAGGCGTCATTTTCATTTTTCCAGCTTCTTGGGAATGTCGTGATTTCACCATTCTGTGAAGGTTGGTAAGGAGCAGAGGCCTTGGCTGCCCTGCCTTCTCTTTAGGACTCTTCACTTTTCTCACATCTCTTGCATGACTTCATGGTACTGGGACAGGTTTTGTATGCTTTCATCCCAGAGTTGGCCGGGTTGTGTCTTTTGTAGCAGAGCCCATACAGCCTGTGGAGGAACTAGAATCTCACTGTAGTAAGAATCTAGGAGGAATGCTAACCTGAAGCGGGTGAGGTCTGGAATCCAAAGGACGTCGTTTTCTACCCACTTCTTAATATTGATAGCTTCCCAGGTCTATTTCATGTCCAAAAAATATTTCCCCAAATTTTGAACTCTTTCACTGTAAAGATTTGTTACAAAGAATGTGGTTTGGGGAATTACCTTATTTTATATTGTAAACAAACTTAAGATTCTACATGTGCCGCTTTCCTCCTTCTCTGAAGGGTGTATGTTCAGTAGTGGCATTTTCAGAATGGTTTTAATATACTTTAACACTTTACATTTCCTCTTTGTATTATTTTGTGAGATCAAGGTGATTATGCTGCTTAAGGTCCAGGTACAGTTTGTACCTTTAGAGACAATATTTGTTACTCTCATAGGTTACGGTTCCACGTGTAATTGCTATATTGGTGTTTTTCTTTACTAGGCAAAGTTAAAGAAAATGTTCCATGCTTTGAGGAGTGACCCGTTCACCATTTACTTTTCTTATCACTAAAGGCAAAAAAGCACAGTTGTCCATTAACACTCACAAGTTAATTATGGGTTTATGAATCTGTAATGTTTTATGCTGCAAATATTTACTATGTAAACGTGAAGTAGCCAATATCTCAATAGCAATGACAGTATCTCCAGCAATCTGTGGAATGGTTAGGTTTTTAAGGCATAGGTCATTGTGGTCTTGAAGGCCTCTGTACCAAGGTCTATTTCAGGGAATGCTGTCTAGAGCTTTGTTCACCATGTGATTATAAAACGAATTTAGGACAAGTTTACCTGCTGTAGCGTATCCATCAGAAGGAATACACGTAGCTATGACATCTATGGAAAAGCTGACACAATTCTTCTACAAGAGGCTCTTTCCCATTGCTAACAGTGTTTCTGGTCTGGGAAGAAACACTCAAGGAGTATGCATGGCATCTGTTTTGCATAATTTATCAGACAGCCTCATTATAAGAATTGTGTGATGTCTGAAAAGGGAAGAAACAGAATGGTTTTTTTGTAGCCACAGCTTTAAGGTATGACGACTCATTACTGATTTTTTCCCCTAAAAATAAGTTTGAGCGTCACATCTGGGGAAGCTGTAGCTTTAAGGTAGTCGATCTCATGTCTTTTTCAAAGATGGAAGCAGAAAGTGAATTACTCTAATTTTGCCCATTATTGGGTTTATTTGTTTTGTAAAGAAATAATCTCCTTTCACTCATTGTGACTTTTGTCCTTAGGGAAGCAGGGATAACTCCAATTTCTGATAACCTCAGTGTGCTTCCCTAATTTAAAGCCATGTTGAGGGGCTCCATCCTCATTGCTGGGTCAAGTTGAATTAACCCCAAGTTGGAGCACTGGAAATTGTTATTTGCAAATGTTACTGTTACCATTTAGAAACACGTACACTACCTAAGTTTTCTTTTGAGAAAAACTATTCACCTTAAAAAAAAATTGCCTTGACAAAAACAGTTCTGGTTTGACTAATCATTTTGCTTAAGTCATGAGTATATGCAAGGTGGACCCTTGATGAGCCAACATTGCACTGTGGATACATATCTATGTTTACGCGCTATTAGAACAGAAGGCGCTGTATATAGAAATGTTGCTTTGAAGCAATATTTGCAAAACATGCAAACTTCTGTATATGTATTTGGAAAAAATAAAACAGGTTTTTGTTGCTAATGTTATGTTATTAAGTTCTCTATTAACGTGCATTGCTTTTCTATAAACATCTTTTAAAGAAGTCTAAACATTTTTACATTCTAAATATTTATCTTCTGCAAGGAGGCAGATGGATGCAAGCTCAAGATCCTAAATCCCAAGAAAGTATGCAAAATACTTTTGAATTCATTTGTCTGTCTTTAATATGCAAAAGTAAAATGCCCCACACTAGCCTCTAACCCAGTCTGGCTCACGCTTTGTAGTGTCAGCTGCAGGCTTATTATATTGACTATTGAAAGCAGTGCTGGGGAAGGCCGGTTTGGCTTTCCTTATTATTATTAAGATGGCACCCACTACAGATAGGACCCTTCTGAGACTAATCCAAACTGCCTACGGCGGAAGATTGAAAGAACAGAGTAGGTTCTAGATTTTATGGCAGTGCTTCCCTATTGCCAAATTCCTTCTTCTTTCTAAACAATTATGCTTATTAAAAAAAAAAATGTAGGCAGTTGGAGAAATAAAAATGTGTAGCTCCAGCAATATAAAAAATCCATTAGTTCACACCAGCTCTGCTTAAGTACTTCTAGAGGCCTAAGATTTGGCAAGGCAGGCGAGTCTGGAGCTTTAAACCAGAGCTCACAAACAAGAACTAGCCTATCTTTAAGGACTTTCCCGGAACCTTATTAAAATAGCTCTAAAGTTTGGGCCTTTGGGGAAGCCTGTGCCCAAAGGGCCGGCGCATGGAATAAGTTGGTGGCAGCGTTGGTATGGAGCCAGCTATTTCCCTGTACGATCCTACAACCACCTAAAAGGCAAGACGTACCAATTTTCCTTTGAGGTACAAAAACAAGCTCAAGTTCTAGTGAGAGAGGGGCAAATATAGAACCCTCATCACACAGACTCCTAATAAAGGACACCCAAGTGGGGTCTTTGGGAGCGCGCGAGGAAAACAGATTTCCCAGATGTATTGAAGACCCAGGCCTAATCAACACATAATGATCCAATGAAAGCCAACGAAGGCCAAGTGATTAGAAAACGAAGGTTTTATTCTCATGGGCCCAAGTTGGTTTCGCAACTAGCCAGAAAAGAGGTTGGAAATACGCTTGGAAAAATAAACCCAGTAAAGAACGAATGAAAGGGACACACCAGACTACAGGATGTCCCAAAACTCATTATCCATTAATGCGGAGTGGGGAGCCAGGCTCAGGTCCCCGGCCCCGATCATCGCTCCAGTCCAGGGAGCGCCCGGACCAGGCCACCCGCAGCTTCGCCGCTCAGCCGGTGATGCGCACATCCGTGCGGCGGCGAAGCCGTCGGGCCCGCGCCGCCTCCGGCAGGATGGCAAGCAGCTGCTCTTGCACCAGCATCTCCACGATCTGCTCCTTGGTACGGATGTCGGGTCGCAGCCACTGGCGGGAGAGCTCCCGCAGCTGCCGGAACGCCTCCCGTGGGCCCGCCGCGTCCTGGTAGCGGAACTGTCGGAAACGCTGGCGGAACGTCTCTGGGCCGGGCCGGGAGCCGCCAGAGCCTGGGGCGGGGCGCGAAGCGATTTCGGCAAGCGGCACGGGGCCCACGGATGAAGGCCCGAGAGCGAGCTCCAGGGCCGCGGAGGCCGCCGCGGGAGGTGGAGAGACCGCTTTAGGGACCGCGGCGTTTTGGCTGGAGGGTTCGGGGACAGGCGGTGGAGCCTCAGGAGTCGATGAAGAGCCCGCAGAGTTACGCTCCCGGTCTGCGCTCGGGCCAGCTTCTTCTTTGTCCTGTGGCGGCGCGGGGCTCCTAGGAGCCGCTAATACCGGCTCGGTCGCCACCATGACTCCGGCTCTGGGCGTCACTCTTTGTCCTGCGGCCTCACCACTGCGTCTGCGTAGGGGCGGGGTGAGGAGGGATACGTTTCCAGCTAAATGGCAGAGCGCGCGCCACCCGGACAGAGGCGGATGAGGGGCGGACCGAGAAAGCACACAGCTCACCTGCACCAGCAAAACGCCTGGAGCCGACGGAAGCGGAAGTCTTCGCAGGCAGCTCTATGATGAGGTCGGCGCACGAACGCCCGGAAGCCGAGTCCCAGCTCGAGGAAGTGGCGCCCCCTCGCGTTCTCAAGTCGCGTGAGGAGGAGACTGCGAGCACGCTGTCCCGGTTTAATGTAAGCGTGAGATATCTTTGGGATGGTGGCGTCACGGTGCACGAGTTTGAGCCGGAGTCGGAGTCAGAGTGGGAGTCGGAGTCAGAGTGGGAGTCGGAGGAGGAGGAGCCAGAACCCAAAGTGATTCTTACCCGCAGTGATCGCTTCAGCTTGCAGGTGACCGATGCGTATGTAACCTGCGCGCGCACCTGCTTGATCCACGTTAGGATGTTGGTGAGCCGCAGGCTGGTGGGGGCTGGCGCCCGGCAGGTGGCGGGCGTGGTACAGCGGAGCGGCAGTCGGGCACTTGAGAGTGGGCACTCGAGAAACTTTTCTTGCTCCGTCAAAAGGAGAGGGCATTCCCGCCTTATTGAGAATAAGACAAAATATAACCTGTGTGTAAAATCCTCAACAAGCAGTGAAACTTGCCCTTCTTATTACAGAAAGAAAATGCTCACGAACTCTTTGCCATTATTATTTCTTGCGTGTCCTCTGAAAACAAGGGACAGGCGGCTCGTGGGTTTGGCGTTTAACGTCAGGATTAGTAAATACACTAAATGCGTTGCTCCTTTTGGTGGCCACTAGCCACATGTGCTTATTGAACCCTTAAAAGGTAGATATTTGGGATTGAGATGTGCCATAATCTAAAATACACAAGAGATTTAGTACGAAAAAGTAATGCAAAATAGCTCAATAATTTTTTTTATTGATTACATTTTGAATGATGTTTTGCATATTTTGGGTCAAATAAAATATATTATTAAAATTAATCTCATGTGTTATTTTAGTTTTTAAATGTGGCTACTAGAAAGTTTTAAATTACATATACGGTTAATATTTTTCTATGGAATAGCCCTGTGCTAGCGTGTTGGTAAACTCCCCATTGCAGGGATTATTTGCCTTAGACCAGAGTTGTTGAGAGAATTAGATCAGTAAAGCCCTTGGAAAGAATGTTTGCTATCGTCTTCATTAGGTAAATTGTTTGCTATCTCTGAGCTAGTTTTCTTAACTGTAAAATGTGGATGTAACAGAATTTACCTCAAGAGAAATTATGAGAATTCAGTGAGATGATGCAGGTACAAGCAGGTACCTCTGACAGCTCTTCAGTAAGTGATATATTCTGTTGGACAGGGAAATTAAGGCCCAGAGACAGACAGGGGCCCCATATGAAAAGTTTTGTATGGCTCCTGCAGTCCCTTTGAGTTCTGTGTGGAATGAGTAGACCTGTTTAACAGCCATCAATACACCAGTGGCCCTGATATAAAATTTGCTTCCCCCATAGGATGTGCTCTCTTCCAGAGTCTGAAAACCTTGAAAGTCATCGCAATGGGTCTTTAATGTTTTTTAGCTACTGCCATGTAAAAATTGGGAGATTTCACTTGCAATCTGGATTTCCAGATTCTATTGAAGAAATGGATGAGCTGGCCAACCGCAAGCTGGACAGGGGAGTGGGTGGGGCGTGGGGAAGGGATGAGAGCTGAAGTTGGAAGGTCAGTTGGAAGTTAAATCATAAAGAGACTAGAATTCCATGGTGAAAAATTGAATTCTTGTCCTCTTAGACAGGGAATGAATTCTTGTGGTACTTGAAATCATGGAAGAAATAGACTGGAGACATTCTGTGATTCCAAGTACCACAAGAGTTCATTACCTTTCCTGAGAGGACATTTTTTTCTCTCTCTGTTGGAATCATAGAATATAGAGATGGAAGGAGAGATCTTGGAGATCTATTAGATCTATTAGAATTGTGGAATGTTAGCATGGAAGGGGCCTTAGAGATTAAATCCAAAAATCGGATTCAGTTATTCTGAACTCTTTATGGGTCAATAAAGCCCCAGAATCTGGAAAAAACAACAACGAAAGAAGTATATAAGTAATCCACTTACATACTTCTGCATACAATTTAAGGTAATTTCTAGATATTCCTGAACCCAGGTTAAGTTTAAAATATATATTTATATGTATTCTATTTTCCTGAATTTTACAGAATAAGTCAAGACACGAAGTCATACACTCTTTGTGAACCTGGGAATAATAACTACCACACTGAATGGCTCTGAAGACTCAATGAGGAGATATAAGTAAAGGAACTGGTACGAGGTCTGATACAGAGTATACACTATTAATTTTTTTAAATGGTAATAGTTACAAAGGGGTAACACTGGAAGTTCTAGTGTGTGGTAGTGAAAAGTCACAGACATTGCTATTATCATTATTAGCCATTTTGAACCTCTGTATGTATGTGACACTACTTACAGATGAGAAATTCAGGTCTAGAGTGAGTGATTAACTTGTCTAGGTTTAGCTAACGGGTAGCAGGATTGGGATTCAAACCCAAGTTTGACCTAGAGATAATAGGGAACTACGGAAGGACTTTAAGCAGGGGAGGGATGTGTTCAGATTGTGTTTTAGGAGACTCACTCTGTATACACTGTACAGAGTACTTTCTTGCTGAATACTTGGATTGTTGCTGATTTTTCACTATTAAAAAAATAATAATCACCTAGTATTTAAAGTACTTTCTTTCTTTTGGATTACAAGTGCCTGTTGCTATAAAATCTATTTGGTTTCTGAGTTCAAAAAGCAAGAGTTTGGATAGTAAGGAAGGCCTGGACTTCCTTAAGCCATATTCCCAGTAGGGAAACGACCAAATTCAATTTTTTGCTAGATATTGCCAGCTTTCTGTCCATAGAGGTGTGTTTGATTCTTAGAGCCTTGGAACAGCCCCTTTACTTCACAGATATACAAACTAAAGTTCAGAGAGGATAAGTATAGTCAGGGTAGATCCAGGGCCCAGCAATGAATGAAGGTTTTAGTTGCTGTGCATTCTCACCAGCTCTTGGTATTGTTGGATTGCAAAAATCGATTCAAATTGGGGTTTAGTGATAGCTCATTGTGCTTTTAATTTGAATTTTCCTAATAGCTAACTAATGATGTTGAGCATCTTTTCATCTTTTAACTTTTTTTGGTAAAATGTTTGTTCAAATCTTTTACACATTTGAAATTTTTTGTCTTTTGTTGAGAGTTCTCGAGTTTTGTTTTGTGTTTTATTTATCCTGATGCAGTTTTTAAAAATTGTGGTAAAATGTACATAACATAAAAATTTACCATTTTAATCATTTCTAAGTATATATAGTTCGGTGGCATTAAGTATGTTTACATCGTTGTACCAACATCATCACCATCCATCTCCAGACGTTTTTCATTTTCCCAAACCGAAACGCTATACTCTTTAAATAACTCGCCATTCCGCCCCCACCCCTAGTCTCGGGTAACTGCTGTTCTACTTTCTGTCTCTTTGAATTTGACTCTTCTAGGTCCCTCATTAAGTGGAATCATGCAATAATTGCCCTTTGATTTCTGGCTTATTTCACTTAGCATAATGTCTTCAAGTTTATTCATGTATTGTGTATCAGGCTGACTAATATATATGGTATTACATAGTCATTGTATGTAATACCACATTTTGTTTATTCATTTACTGATGGACATTTGGGCTGTTTCTACCTTTCTGCTACTGTGAATAATGCTGCTGTGAACACTGGTTTGCAGAGATCTCTTTGGGTCTCTGCTGTCAATTCTTTTGGGTATATACCCAGACTTGGAATTGCTGGATTATATGATAATTCTCTGTTTACCTTTTTGACGAACCACATACTGTTTTCCACAGCAGCTCCACTGTTTTACATTCCCACCAGCAAAGCAAAGGGGTCCCAATTTTTCCACATCCTCGCCAACCCTTGTTATGTTGCCTTATTTTTTTAATGTGAAATATTAAATAGGAAACTTTAAGTTACCAGTGGACAAGAAATTCAGGTTTTCAACATATTTAGTTATCCTATAATTTCATTTACATACATCACACAGTACATACATCATTCCAGGAGGCCAGCTCATGGTGAAGAGGAAGCAGGTTCTGCTAATGAGGTAGTTTGGATAAAAAGCCTCCAGGATGTTCCATTTTCTGCATTTTACAATTTTATATGTAGTCTAAGAAGCTTGATCTGGTCTCTTTTCTTCTTTTGGATAACATATTTTATCAAATGTGTTTGATCTTGGGCTGAAGATCTGTTTTGTCTTTTGATGTTTTGATGAGCTGCAGATAACAGGTCTAGGGTACTTAATCTAGTTATACTATGTTTGTAATTAACTCAGTTATTAGTAATTCTCTTTCCTGATAAACCGATGTAAATTCAGAAGCGGAAATACTTAATCATCCATTTGCCTTTCCCTTCTTTCGCTGAAGTCTCTTCAGTTGCAATCCTGCAAGTTCCCAGTTTTCCATGAACCTGTTTTTACGTGGCACTCTACCAGTAGCTCTGTGTTCCATATTACACTACACTGATCTTGTTTTATTACTTAAAAATCAATTCATTCATTTTGAATAGGTGATAGATACCTAGTATAAAATTCAAAAGTCCAAGAGTAATTGTTTTACTTTTTTAATCCTTTTCTTTCCAGCCTTGTTATTGTTAGTTCCCTTTATATATTTAAATATGCTTATACATCCATTTCTTGGTCTATTAGGTTTAAAAGGGGTCTTAAGATTTATAGTTCTTATGACTTCAAAGATACCATTTGTTCTTCCAATACTTATAATGCCCGTCGTTTATAAATGTGTGCCTTGAGCTAAGAACAAACTAGTTTTTATCAAAAATGGAAATAGATGCAATTATTACAAGAAAAAAAGATTTACAGTTCTTAAAAGTTCTCATCACAAGAAAAAAATTGTAACCAAGGCGATAGATGTTAACTAAACTTATTGTGGCAATCATTTCACAGTATATACATATATCAAGTCATTATGTTGTATGCCTTAAACCAATACAATTATATTCCAATAAAACCAGAAAAAAAAAGATTTACAGCTACAAAAGTTAAAGAAACCCATGTACGTATGTTACCTCACATCTCTCTATCTCCATACTTGTTAGCTATATTGTTCGTTCATTTCCAACTCCTTGCTTTTTTGCAATCTTATCCTCTGTATTCCTAGCTCCCTTTTTGATGTTTTTAAAAATGACTTTCACTTCTGAGATGGTTTTTTAAAAAACGCTTCCCAGTGCCATCTCTTCTTGTTGTCTCAATCATCTCTTCTTTGAACTATGGCATCTTTGTTTTGATCTCATGTTTTAAAATTCACCCAGCCCTCTGAGTTCTTTGTTGTTCATGATTATCATCTGTTTCATGTTAATTTCCTTCTGGTGTGTGCCTTTCATCTGCCATTTGTTTTTCTTATTCCCTGCCTCCCTCTCCTACTTTTGAAGCAATCTATTTATATAGGTCTGGTGCTATTTATTTTTTACTGTAACTCCCCTTTAAACGAAGTGAGTTCTTCCTGGACCAGCTATTTGTTGGAGTTGTGTATGGAGAAAGGACTAGCGTAGAATTCCAGGCTGGCAGGAAATCTCTTAGGTTCATAGTGAAACTCCTTATGACAAGGGTTTTGTGTGAGTGAATTGGTTTGTACTTTCTCTTTCTGGAAGATGGTACTTGGGTGCTTCAAGGCTGCAAAAAACAGCCTGTCTGTGTGTTTCCTTGGTCAGCCCACATGCCCTGCTTCTCCTTGGTGCCAGTGGCACCAGGAAAGCTCCCAGAGCCAGCCCTGTCATCGTGACCCCCATGTGGTACAGAAGGTGCTATTGGTTCTGCCTTCAAGGTGCATGGCCTTCTTTGGAGAACTCCAGACTCAGCTTTCCCTGAGACCTGCAGCCCCAGGCATTTTCTGTTGGCTTTAACCCTCTGAGTCTTCTCAGCACATGACATTTCTGAACAGGCCTACGTGATGGCCTGCTACTCTGAGCTTTCTCTGACCACTGTATTGCTGAGCCCAGAAAAGCTGGCGAGTGAATGCATCCAGGAGTAGCCCCCAGCCAATGGGACAGCTCTAAGGCATGCTCTGTGCAATCTTACTAAGGTCCCAGCACATTGTAGCCCACAAAAGTGACATGTTGATTCATGTGCCTTTGTCAAAAATATTTTTTTAATATATGAAGATCAGATCATTTTTCTGCTAGTATAACAGATCGTATTTATGGATTCTCTATTAATCATTTTTGCATTCCTGGGATACTATGTTATTTTTGAATGTGCTACTGAATTCCGTTTGCTTATATTTTATTTATAATCTTAAAAACAATATTTATAAATGAGATGAATCTCTAGCTTTCTCTTTTTATGCAATCTTTATCAGATTTTTAAGTGTCAGTATTCTTACTTCATAAAAAGAATTTGGTATTTTCCTTCTTTTTATGCTCCGGGTCAGTTTAAGAAACATCTAGATTATCTGAAGTTGCCTGTTAAAACTTCAGGGCCTGGTAATTTTTTCATTTTTGGTGGTGGTGGTGGTGGTGAAAGAGCTTTTTCTTTTCTTTTTTTTTTTTTTAAATAATTTTCTCTATTTCTTCTATGAAAACTAGTCTATTTAGATGGCTTCTATTGGGATTACTTTGGTAAATTATGTTTTCTTAGAAAATTATCCATAAAATCTCAGTATTTAAATGTTGACAGCTAATTCACATTTTTTAAAAAACATACCAGCAGGTTAAATATGGCCTGTAGATCACCATTTTGCAACCACTGATTATAGTCAAAGGATTTTAGACCCAAAAGGGGTCATATAGATTCTATACTGAGGGTTGCAAATAACATGCTTGACAGGTAACACTGTTTTGTGAGGTGAGGACTTGGTAAATTGGAGAGCCCATTCCCCAACTAAAGATAAGCAAGTTTTAACCAAAACATGCAGGTCAAATAAAGCAGTCTGCCAGGTCAGTTTGGCCCATGGGTAGCTAGTACATGGCTTTTGCCAGCCCAAGGTCACTTTCTGCCACACTTTATGGGCATCTCACTTTCCAGCCCTGTCTCATGCTCCCTGAGCAATCTCTACCTTTTCTTCATATATGTTTATAACTTATTATAGTGAGAATTTCTTTCATGGTGGCAGAAGCATTTTTCCTCCCCATTGTGTTGTGAACTTGTGAGCAGAGACCGTGTCTTATTCACTTTTTCATGCTTTGTATGTAGTTGGAGCTCTATAAATTTTTGTTACATAACTTTTATAATTAGCAAAACAATGAAAGATCTTATCTTAAAAAGACCTCATTTGTGGAATTGACTCTTAACTCCATTTTATAAGGAGGAAAATGAGGTCCCACGTGGTTAAGTGATTTACCTACGATCGCACAAGAGTAGGACCAGTGCTCTTTCTGAAATTCACTCTGTAATAATTCAGTTAGAAGAGTAGGAACTAGAACAGAAATGCCACTTCCTTAATTTCTAGAACCGACTTTAATGTCTGACTTTGAGTCCCCAGCCTATCTCCTGGCAGACAACTTAATTTACATGTCTTCAGGTAAATGGAGATCTAATCCAGTAATTTTGAGGGGATATAATTTCAGGCTATTGATTTACCTTAGACCAGTTCAGAGCTCCCCAAACTTCCTGCCTCTACCTCCCCAACACTGATCTAATTCCCAGGGCAGTTACACAACCACAGCTGGCAGGAAGTGAGGTTGAAAGTGTCTGCTTTCGGGGTCTCATCAGGTTCTTGGTTCTACTTACTGGCACCCTTGTTGCCCCTTGATAGTCTGGATCCTCTCCATGTCATTTGGATCCTCAGACAACTCAGAGGACTGATGGGACACTCATCCCCCCACCCCCAGTCCATAGTCACCTGCCACCATTTCTCTTGCCTTCCCCATGCCCAGTAGTTTATCTCAGAAACCCCCAACTTTTGTAGAGGATCTTCTTGTGTTTCCTTCCTCAAGACCAGGTCTCTGGTAAAGGAGGCAAAAACTCCACACTGCTTCCCTCTTCTCTCTCTGTCTCTGTCTCTGTCTCTATTTCTGAAAATTTCTCTTCCTCTCTCTCTGAGTCCTTTGCATCTTTTCTTCAGGTAAGAGAGGAAAAACCCCAGCTCTATCTCTGCTTGCTTCTGTAAGTGGTTAGGATCTCATCCCAAGAGTAATTAATTTAGTAATTCAGAGCCTGGGTCTTTGTTCCCAGCTGTCCGGCTGTCTTCACTGTGTTCAGTTCCCTTCCATTTGGTGGTCATTTGGGGAAGAGTTGGCAGATAGGCCTAGCTAGATTGAAATGGCAAATCTGGCGGTACTTGGAGTCATAGTTTTTCGCTGATGCTTCTTATACAGCAAATTGGGATCATCAAATTGACATCTTTAGTAGGAAAAGATACTTTAGACCCTATATTCTTCTTGACTTTTGAAAGAACTTCAGAGTCATTGAGTTCAAGTCACGAAGTTCCTTTCAACATTTGGCATCCCATTTGGTTCAGGACTTCTGATTTGCTTAGTGTCCCTGATTTACTGATTAAACAAGATTTATAAGACAGTGGCCTACACCTACATTCCAGGGTCTCCAAGTTCTCAGAGTGGTCCCCAGGCTGAGGTGTTGGATGCCCCCAGCCCCAGCCTTGGAGCCGCCTGCTTTTTTTAAGATGGCCCCATGGCTCTGGCAGTCATTGAGCCACTTTGAGTTTTAGTCTCTTCATGTATGGAGTGCGTGTGAGGTCCCTCACCTTGCGGTAGTTTTGAGGATTAACTAAGATAATGCCTATGAGTGTTCAGTAAATATTAGATTCTCAGATTCTAGTTCCTCTCTTCCTTCTAGAATCCTTAATTGTGACATAAGGATGAAATTCTCTTAGCTGTTGGGTACAAAGAGTAGAGAGGAACATTGACCTTGCCACCGAGGGAAGCTATTCATTTCCATATAACTGGGGAAAGATTCTGGGGAAAGATACGTGGTCCTACCATTGAAAAGCAAAGGAGCTTGTTGTGACATTTGCTAGCTTGGGAACCATGAGGAGATATATGGTATCTCATTCCTGGCAGGTCCTGAAGAAGGAACTGGTAAGGATTGTCAAGGGCCCTGGGAGGGAAGAGTGGAAGCTTGAACAGACAGGTGTTTTGAGGAAGGGAGAGGCAGGTGTAGGAGGGGGCCTTGGGTAAATGTGGCCACCTTGTACCTTTGGAGTCATAGCATGGGTACAAAGGAAAGAGTTCCAGATTTGGCTTCAAAAAGACTGAATTCCGAGCGCTGTCCTGTAGCCTCCACACACCCCACCTCCTCCTGGAAACTGGGCAAGTCATAGGCTACACTCTGAGCTCCTGAGTCCTACTCTGTACCTACCCTTCCTGCTATTGTGAGATCCAGAGATAATCAGGCCCAGCCACAGAGTAAGTTAATAGGTTAAACTTTTGGACTCTGGAGCCAGCCTACCTTGGTTCAAATCCCTGTCACCTATCAGTCATGTGGCTAATGTTAGTATTAGGCAAGTTATTTGATTTGCTATGCCTGTTTTTTCCTCTGTAAAGGATGATGATCGTAGTAATACCTACTGCATAGATTTATTGAGGATTAAATTAGTCCATACTTATAAAGGGCTTAGCATAGTAGCATATTGTTTTCAACAAGCATTAATTTTACTAATAAAGCCTTTCCCCATATTTCCTTTAGGTTTATAATTTTTGAAGAAAATTTATTTAGATTTTTAAAATCTAAAGTGACAGGTGAAACTCCTCACCGTCCCACTCCCGTTTTCCTCACTGCTAACCACTTTCCTGAGGCTGATATATACCCTTCCTATCTATATTTTTAAATTTTATTACACATGTATGTATATATAGCAGCAATAAGTATCCATAAGCAACTATGTAGTATACAGCACATTTTAAAAAATGGTATCATAAATGGCATCATATTTCACCTTTTTCTATTCAAAATTATACATGAGCTTTACCCACATTGACATACACAGCTCTAGTGCGCTGTTCAATCCTGTGACTGTGCTATAACATTTTGATGCATTCCCCTGCTGATGGACACTTGCCACTGTTACAGTGTTCCATGATCATCTTCCTTGTGAGTATGTGTAAGCATAACGGTGCATATAATTCCTTGATTGTAAAGGACACATTCTCAACTTCTAAAAATATTGCTTCAACTTTTAAAAACATTTAAAAAAATTCCTAATCTGATAAGTATAAAATGGTATCTTATTACTTTAATTTTCATTTCCATTATTTCTAGTGGTATTCAGAATCTTTTCATTATTTATAGGTGGTTCAAGTTTTTCCTTTGAATTACCTGTTCATAGCCTTTGCTCACTTTTCTATTGGGTTATTTCTATTCATTTTCTTTTGACTTGTAGAATTTAAAAAAAAATTCCGGATAGTAATTGTTTGTAATCCTGGATAGTAATCCTTTGTTGATTATATGCATGGCAGATATATTCTTCTATTCTTCAGTTTGTCTTTTTCATTTTGTTTATGATGTCCTTATTATCAGAAGTTAAACAAAAGGTTTTAGTTTTCGCATTTTTTAAATTACGGAAAATTTCAAACATAAAAGTTGAAATTTATATAATGATCATCCCTTAGATCTAACAATCAACATTTTGCCATATTGGCTTTCTGTATTTGTGTGTGTGCACTGGTGTGTGTTTACTGAGTCATTTGAAAGTTGCATGCGTTATAACACTCTCTTAAAAATAAGAACACAACCATGGTATCACCGTAATACTAAGAAAATTAAAACAATTTCCCTATAATATCTAATATCTAGTCATATTAGATTTCCTTATTTGTTCCTAAAATGTATTTTACACCTTGTTATGATGAATTAGGGTCCAGTCAAGGTTCATAGTTTGAATTTGCTTGTATGTCTCTTGAGTCTTAATCTAGAATAGTCCCCACACTTTGTTCATTTTTCCTCAGGAAATTGACTTTTTGAAGAAACTGGGTTAGGTGACTTTTAGATTCTTTCACATTCTGGATTTGTCTCTTTGATGTTGAACTTGCTTCCTTATCCCCTGTATCTTCTTGGCAAGTAGATGACTGCCCTTACCTAAATTCGTATTCGGGATTTGTTCTCAGTTCCAATTCCAAATTCCCAGGGAAAATATTGGATGGGCCATCGTGGATTAAGCATTATGTTAGTTTTCTATTGCTGCTCTAACATATTGCCACAATTTAGTGACTTAAGACAATACAAATTTATTATCTTGTGTGGTCTAGAAGTCTGGCATGAGTCTCTCTGGGCTAAAATCAAGGTGTTAGCAGAGCTGCCTTTCTTTCTCAAGGTTCTAGGAAAAAATCCATTTCCTTGACTTTTATAGCTTCTGGAGACCACCCACATTCCTTGGCTCTCGGCTTCCTTCCTCTGTCTTCAAAGCCAGCAGTGTTGCATCTTGCTAACTGTTCTCCCTTCAGACCCATCTGATTCCCAAGTTCAGGCTCTCTGCATCATCCCTTGCCTCCTGCCACTATTTGTGCTCTTTATTTTCTGGACCAAAGTGAAAGAGTGCACATTTAACTAGAACTAGGCTGCTAAATGTTTTAACTACTCGTTCCTGGAGAAGGGGATGCCCCCATTTGTAGTAGTTGCCAATATTTATGTGGCATAAACATTCCCACCATGGGCAATTTCAAGCTATCAACATGATTTCAGTAGTCTTGAAAACTTCCTGAAAATGTAACCATCGCTCTAGCACACCATTGCATTTAATCCTGTTCCGTTTCACCTAGCTTGGCACCATCCGGCCCGCTGCTGATGGTTGAGAACAGACGGTTTCCACTGCTCTTGTTTCTTTTGTTTCCACAGGGGCTGTACCAGCTCATCCTGGATATCATTATGATGATCCGAGTGTGTAAAATGTTCCGCCAAGGCCTCAGGGGATTCCGGGAATATCAGATCATTGAGAATCCTCACCGAAGGCACCCTGTCTTCTCCTTTTGGGATGTAAGCAGCTAGGCTCAGCAGGATTTGGAGGTTTAAGGGGTTACTATAATTAGCACCCCACTTTCCAGCCCAAGTTCTGTACCAACTGAGAGAGAAGGCAAAGGATAAAGCAGATGGGAGACCCAACTGTTACTTTTATTAATGATGAGATTTATATTGAGAAGATGACTTGTATCATCAAGTGAGAGGGTTACCTAATACCGAATCCCGGCGTTAGACAGCCTTGCATACACAGTCACACGCAGTGCTGGGCCATGGCAGCCTCCACTGTAGCAGCAGGGCCTTCTGCCCTAAACTTCCAGCAGAGAGAGCAGAGCGGAATGTGGTCTCAGAGGAAAGGAGGAGGGGGTGATAATGCCTAGTGTTTCCTTCCAAATCCACTAAGGAGTTTAAGTCACTCCTCAGTGTGGAAGGAGAGGGGCCAGTAGTGTTCAATGAGTACAACTTCCTCCATGTGGAAAGGGAGAGGGGAAGAAATCGTCACCATTCCAGAGGTGATCAAAAGAGCCTGAAGAAGTCCACTTGGGGTTTTATGAATGCCCAACTGTTCACCTTCTCTATCTTCTTTCCTGTCCTCCCACTTAAACAAGAAGGGAACATTTGCAGGGCCTGTGCAACTCTGGTGACTATGGTTTTTAGATTTTCTAGAGGGTCCCAGTTTCAAATATTTTACCCCAGTGGTAGATTACGAGCCCATTTTTGGTTCAGAAAAGTTGATCACTATTCTGTTAGCTTGTTCTGGTTCCCCAAAGTTACGTTCATTACTGTCCAGGGCTCCAAAGTTTCCCCAGCCAATACCTGGACAAACCCTGCCTATTTTTCTGTTATGCCAATGGTGACTAGATGCTGCCTCTGCCTCCCTGCTGCAACCAGCAGCTCACTCCAAAATATTTTCCAAAATGTTTTCTGAAGGATAGCAGCCAAGGAAAGAAGTGCATGTGTGTGTGTGTTGCGGGGGCGGGGAGGGGGGTAATGGGAGAAAGGAAGGTGGTCTTGGATTGGTTTCGGAGGGGCGAGCTGGTAATGTAACTCTGTGTGTGGCTTCGTTTAAGATGTAGCAGGGAGGAGGGGCCCGTGGGCCAGCTAGAGAGGAAAAGACATTCAGATATACTTTGAAGACACTATGCTGGCCAAACCAAACAAGTCTGCAGCCATATTCTGCCCTGTAGTTGGGCCATGAGATGGGAAAGGATGAATTAGAAGAATTGTGACCTGAGAGACAAGGTGAACTCTCAGTATGGACATTCTGACTCAGGGTGTCATGCACTGGAGAAGTGAAGGGCACTGGAGACCAGGAGTCTTTGGTTACCAGCAGACCTGGGCTGATGTCTGGGCAACTGGAAGCTGAAGATCAGTGTCAGGCTTGTCATTGGGAGGGTGGCCTTGAGTAGAGCAGAAGCCTTTCAAGGGCAGCTTGTGGGGGTCATATGGCTGCTGCGCAGAGAGCGAGGGGCCTGGGGCATAGGGTTGGGTGGAGAGATTCATAGACTGGTTTTTAGTAGAGTATGTGAATCCAGATCTTTCTGAACACCACCCCTTTCCTTCATTGGTTCCCCTGAGTAGAACCACGTGGATACCCAAACTCTGGAGAAAGATATGAGATACACCTAGAGAGATGAATGGGGGTCCTGGTTGGCCCAAGATGGTGGTCAGGACCTTGTTTGTCCCTTTTCTTCCCCCTCAACTTCCCCTACATATTTTCCCTCTCTCTCTCTGCCCGCTTCTCTACTCTTACCACATCTTTTCTGCATCTTTTAGGAGGTAGGGGTGGATTAATTCATCTCTAAGACCTCTTATACCTCCTCCTCCTGGCCACCCTCTAGACGAGGACCATTCACCTGCTGTGTGACCTTAGGCAAGTTCCTTCTCTCCCTTCAAGTCTAAAACAGGGCTTAATACCTGCTTTGTCCTGAAGATGAAATGGAGTCGATAAGGAAGATGTGCTGTGCCTGGCTTGTTACAGGCATGCAGTGAGGTCGGCTTCATTTCTTCCATCTTAATCCCTCCTTTCTGTTTTTTCCCTTCTATATTTTCCTATTTGTTTGCTTCTTTTTCCCTCTTCCTTTCTTTTTCCATTCTTCTTCTTTTTCTCTTCTTTTCCCTCTCCCCTCCCTCATCTTTCTCTCCCCTCACACTAGTATATTGTCGATACTGCACCCAAATCTTGTGCTGAGTTGGGGCTTTTGAGAGGAGGTGGCCATGGGAAGCCCAGCTGCTAGGAGGTTTCCCAGCGCTCCCTGCCTACTATGGTGGTCCAGTTGCATAGAAAGGTTTCAATGCAGAATTATAGTAGCTGTCTTGCTGATCTTCCTTTCTGTCCCCTACTTTTTTTTTTTTTCTTTTTCAGAAAAAGAAACAAGGCCGGATCACATTTGATACCATGGACTTCGTTGCAGAGTCGGTATGCATAGTTCTGACCTTGATGTTGAGAATTTTCTTTCAGCTTCATAGCCTGGAAGGAGCACCGGGCTGGGCATGAGGACAGCTGGGTTTGGTTCAGGTTCTGTCACCAACCCAGTCTGTCACCCTGAGTTAGCCACTTAGTTTCCTCATCTATAAAATAGCTGATCTCAGTGATCCCTTCTAGTCCTGGCATTTTAAGACTGTGAGTCCCTCTAAACTCATTGTTGCTTTACAGCTTGAGCAGAACCAGCAGGAGAGAGCTCCTGCACTCGGATCTGTGGGAAAACAAGCAGAAGGCAAAGAACAGGATTTGAGAGCACGAGACAGAGAAGAAAAAATCAGGGTAGTAGGAAGAGCCCTGGCCTGTGTGAGAATTCTGGCTCAAACTCTTTGAGAGACACTGGGCGCACTTGTCTCTTCCTAGGTATAGAATGGCCATTCTGATAAGGAGATGCCATACCCGGATGAGGCTTTGGATTGTGTGACTTGTTCTCTGAATTTCAAGGATCATGGTTATGTTCCCAACTTCTCCCTACCAAATCCTGGATATTAATTAAAATTTAAAATTACATTTAAAATTTCAAGGGACCTACGTATTTATAGGGAAGATCTGAAATTCTTACCAGTGTAGACCTGACTCAACCCTGCCCTGGAGTGCCATACTGGTTTTTCTGTCAGGGAAAGGGGGCAGGACAAAGCTTTATAACTGTTACCAAGACCACTTGTCACCCTGCCCCACCTCTTTCTCCCCTTGGAGCCTATGTGTGACTTCTGTTGTGACTTCTGTTGCCTGCCTCTCCTGGGCATTATCTAATTTCTCATGCCTCATTATGTACGAAGCATAATTAAGTCATCCAAATTCTGGGTTTCTTTAACATTCCAGACTGGCCAGTGTCTGACACTGGGCCTAAAATTTACCTAAAGTTTGCCCTTCAGATAGGAGAAACTAGGGGCTTCTCTGAGAGCCACAGAACTCTAGAGATGAAAGCAATTTTGTGCATAGCAGTAGAGGGAGAGAAGAGGGTACAGAGGAAAAATCCATTATATAAGCAAGGCCTCTCAGCCTCCTGAATGAGTTGTGTCTGACTCTGGCTCCAACAGGGAGATGAAGAGTAGAGACCCAATTTAAAAACATGTCTTTTGAGTGAGTAATGGGTACCGGTTTCTTTTTAGGGTGATGAAAAGGTTCAAAGACTATTGTGATGGTTGCACAATTCTGTGAATACACTAAAAATTCATTGTATTGTATAATTTAAATAGTGAATCATATGGTATGTGAATTATATCTCAATCAAGCTAATACACACCCACACACACATTTATGCATATATAACCTGCCGCTCAGGAAGCATTTGGATTGTGACTGGATTGTGACTAAACTTCAGTATAGCCATATTGGGACTCTGCTAAAACTAAACTTCTCAAGAAGAATCCTTGGAATTATAGAGATTTAGAATTTAGACTCATTTATTATAGCAATTGTGAGACTTTGGAAACAATGGGCGCATTTCACATAACAGTTTAAAAAAGAACATTGAGTGCAAAATGAATTAAATAAATGATGTCTGCAGTCTGACATGTAAATAAAACGAAAACAATTCTATATATATTTTGTGGGCACATGTATAAGTATATAATAATGTATAAAGATGGTAAACTCTGGTGGTGGAGAGCAGATCCAGATTAGACATGATATGGTACAAAGGGATTTTAACCATCTATATTCTGATTTTTAATGGAAAATATAGTCATGTATTACTTGTGTTATTTTCAAAGAATTTATTTATACATTAGAAAAAGAGAGGAAACAAGTATACCGGATGTTAACGGCCAGCTCTGGGTGCTGGGATGAAGGGCAGTCCCCCTTTTTTTCCTTTATCCTTCCTGTGTGCTAGAGGAACACAGCGAGGGGACTGCTGGCATGAAGCTCGTGAGGGTGAGCGTGCTGAGAAATGGTGTTCAGGAAGCAGGCTGGGGCCAAGTCTTCCAGGCCCTGCTTGAATTATATTCCCTTTTTTTTTTTTTTTTCCCCGAGTCCCTAAGGTAGTCCTAGATCTGTCTCTGGTTATGAGGAATAGGTTGTATAACATTCTCACCTACAGTTAAGGAGCTGATTAGGAGTTTAGGTCATAATAAGTTAAATAACAGAGTCAGTTCTATAGGAACCCAGAAAAGGAGCTTTCTAAGGGTTGGGGATAGTGAGGAAGATTTCCTGAAGGAATCAGAGCCCCAAATGAGCCTGAAGCATCAGTTCGGTTCATAGAAGCCAGGGGAACCAGGATTTTTGTCCTAAATGGACCCTGTGATAGAAATCCCAATGGATTACTAATAGCAAAAGAGAGTTAGAAAGGAGAAAGATTGGATTTAGACCATGAAAATGGCCAGCAACACTTCCGTAGCCCTTGCCGTGTGCCAGGTACATTGTAAGCCTGCTATTTATACATATAGTTTCTGCTATTATCGGATAGGGGAACTGAGTCTCAGAGAGAAGTGACTTGTTCCAGGGCACACAGCTCGGAAATAGGAGGCCAAAGTTCAAATCTAGGCACCTGGCACCAGAGCCCACGAGCTTTTAATCACTGAGCCACACAGCCTTTCTGAGTAAATATGCAAGGCTTCGGATTTGTTGTTCTAATGTCCAGCATTCCTTATCATGTCCACTTTCATTTAGTTTCTGTGACAATTACTATTTTTCAGCACTGCCGACATTCATTCTTCCCATAAATGTTATCTAGAGCACCCACTACATGTGAGGAATTATTCTAGAGTGGTAGACAAGATAGATGAGGCCACTGTCATGTGTACATTGGGGCTTATATTCTCGCCTACCTTTGTCCCACAGACCTTTCTGAGATAATGGAAATATTCAGTAGTTTGTGGTGTCCAGTGCAGTAGCAGATACAGGTAGCTGTTGAGCACTTGAGTGACCGAGGAACTTATCTTTTATCTAATTTAAATTAAATAGCCACCTGTGGCTGTTGGCTGCCATATTGGACAGTGCATTCTAGATTGTGCGTTTGTGTGTGGGAGAATAGGAAAATGACAAATATACACATTAACAAAAAGGAATAAATAATTTCAGAAAGTATTAAATGCTTTGAAGAAAAGGATTCAGAGCTTATAGGGTGCCAGGAACAGGCCCTGCTATTTTAGCTTAGATGATCCAGTAGGGACTCCTGGAGGAGCTGAGAGCAGAATAGGAAGGAGGGGCCAGTCATATTCATGGGAAAATCCAGAGGAAGAACGTTCCAGGCAGAGGAAACAGCCCAAAAGGACTGCAAGACAGAAGTGAGCTTGGCACCTGTAAGAGTCAGAAGGCTAGAGACTAGAGAAGGAAGAGGTGAAGCAGGAGATGAGGATGGAAGGGTGTAGAGAGGTAGGGAGTCAGACCATGTGGGCTCCTAGGCTGTGGTATGGAGTTAGGATTTTACTTAAGTGCAATGGGCTGCCAGTGAGGGTGTTAACCCCTTAAGTACCATTTCCTCAGCAGATGGGAGTGGTGGGTGAATGGGTAGATCTGCTTGCCCACTGGTCCAAGAGTTCTGGTTCATGAGAGTTAGCTAATAGTCTCTGTAGGTTCTCTGGTTCTTAGTCTTCTGTAGCATGCAGAGGTGCAGGCTGAGGCAAGGGAGGTGTCCCCTGACTGCAGTATGTATGTGCTAAAGGATCCCTGGAGCCCAGGGAGCCCATGTTGCCTGGTGCAGGGAGACAATGAATGGCAGTGGCACTATGGTTAGTAGCTGGGGATATAGGTCGTGGAAGGTAGCAGATCTAGGTTCTAATCCTGCCTGAGTGTCTTTATCTGTCATTTGGAAATAATAATAGTGCCTCACTTCTTGGGCTGGGCGAAGATACAGTGAGATGGTATGTGTTAAGATGCATATGCCGGTGTGTGGCACACAGTAAGCACTTACTCCATGTCAACCACTATCATGCGGGGAGTGGGAAAGTATAAAAGCAGGAGTGTGGGGAGTTGCCCTCTCGCCCATGGGGGAAACTGCTGGGTTCAATGTGTCACTCTAGCTCTCTCTTTCCAGGGTTACTTCCCTCTAAAGGCCATCGAAATAGCACAGAAGAAGCCTTCCTGGAGGACAGACCAGGAGATCCAGATCCTCTGTAACACCTTGCAGGTTATAGGGAGCTACCGGAACTACTCTCATTCCCTGCAGCTGCTCCTGGCCAAAGTCATGCGCTTTGAACGGTCAGTGAGGGGCACACCCTTTGGCTCCTGGGCTGGGGCTGGGCTGGGCAGAAAGAGTCAGGCTGAGAAGGCCATGGCAGGTCTGCCAGCCTCTCCATGGAGTGTCAGCCATGGAAAGCTGTCTGCCAGTTCACCTGAGTGCTCACTGTTATGAGTTGATTTCATGTATTTATTGAGAGTCTACCCAGAATTAAGAAGCCACTGAATCTGGAGAGGATCTGGTAGGAACCTCAAAAAGGTCCAATTCCCTCATTTTTCAGATGAGAAAACTGAAGCTCAGAAGGGGAAAATGATTCATCCTAGGTCACCCAAATAAGTAGCAGAGCTGGTACTCAAATCCAGGCCCTAAAAGCCAGAATAGATCACAGGTGATTGTACTACATCCATATAGGAACCAGGACAAGGGTCTTGAACTCAGATGAGAAAAAAAATTGTACCTGTATTTTCATTAACCTCTAAATGAAATTTATCATTTCCTTCAATCCTGGGTATAGGTAACAAACTACTGTAGTGTTAGATATTCTTATGACTTTTTCACTAAAAGAAATCATGGATATTTTTACATCGTATTCACGTTCCTGTAGATTCTTGAAAAACAGTTTATGTTCATTGTATCTTTGAAAATACGGTAGTTATTAGATATGCTGCTAGATCTTATTATTTGATACCTTAATAAAGATGCTCATTTATTACTATATTGCAAATATGGGTTTTCATTAACTGTAATTCTGATATATTTTATTTTATACATTTAAGATGTTATTCTGTGAAGGTTTCATCAGCTTGTCAAAAGGCCCATGTCACAAAAAGTGACATGTAAGTACCTTGTACTAGAGAAGTTTAAGAAGTACATGTGGAAATATTGCTATTTCCAGGACATTTCACTGGCTTATGGGGGACAGCCTAGCAGAGTATTTGAGGTAAGGCCTGTCTTGAAAATCCAGGATGCAAGGTTTGTGCCCTGATATCTTCCTTCATGGAGCACATAATCACAACTAAGTACAGATTATGACCCTTTATGAATCATGCAGTATTCATTCTGCAGATAATAAGCCATGGGGGGAGATAACTCTTTAACTAGCTTGACCAAAAGAGTTTCACAGCAGAGGTGGCATTTGAACAGGTAGATCTGACAGGTGGAAGTGTAGACAAGGACATTCCGGGCAGAGGGAACCATCTGCTTTGTCCTAGCCCAGTGAAGAAGAGCAAGTCATTGCTATCTTAAAGTAAGATTCCATGGCAGGCAGAATGGTGTCATGGAAAGAAAAATAATCATGGAGCTAGAAGCTCTGGAATTTAATGCCATATCTGCCCCGCTGTGACCTCAAGCAAGCCACTTAACCTTTCTGAGCCTAGTATCCTCATCAGTGAAATGAAGGTAATAATATGGCTTTTGTATAGATCAAAAGAGGGTCGTTGTTAAAGCCAGTTATTGATTATTGCCTGGACTGGGAATTAGCAGATTAGATAGGATCCTTCCAGTGGCAAGTTGCAAGGCAGAAAATGCAGCCCAAGGAGATGCATCGGTGGCTCATGTATCTGAAAAATCCCGGGATAGTCCTCCAGGTTCAGGCTCAGCTGGCCTCAGGGGCTCAAAGTCACCAGGACTCAATGTCTGTCTGTCTGTCTCCATCTCTTGGTTCTTCATAGCATAAGCCACCTTCTCAGCTAGACTCTTTTCTCATGGTGGCAAGATGGCTGCTCCAGCTCCAGCTCCAAACTTCCATTCTTCTGGTTTCAGTCCATTGGGAAAGAGAGACTATTTTAGTCCCTCAGACTAGAGCCTTGGGATCAGTTTTTTTTTTTTCCTGAACCAGATTGGCTCTGCTTGAATTATCAGTGGGTAGTGATGCTCTGATTGTCTTAAGAGTCAAGAAAGGGTGTTTTCCCCAAAGCAAAATCAGGGTGCAGTTGGTAGAAAAAGGTGACCAGATGCTTGGCATAAAAACAATAGATGTCTGCTCTAGGAGATTCAGGTTCTAGTGCTGACTCAAGTGTGACTCATTGTGTGACCTTCAGCAAGCCGTGGATTCCTCATCCCCAAAATATAAATTGAGCTCGATGGCCTCTGAGGGTCTTTCTGGCTACAGCTGTAGGAGCCTACACTTGAATGAACACATGCTCTTTCCTCTCCAAAGTCTTATTTCCTGGCTGAATGTGCCTGCCTTCTTCCATCTGGTCATTGTCATCTGGGCCATCTCCTCTTTCTTACATTGACAGAGCCTCTGGTTTGTATCCCAACAAACCAGGCTTCCCTCTGGTTTGTATCCCAACAAAGTTACTCACTCCAGCTACTGACTCCAGCCTAATGTAGTACTCAGTCCATCTGTCCTCTGTTTCCTGCCCCCAGCAGTTTGCTGCAGGGTCCTAAGGTCAGGGGGTACTCTGGAAGCTCAGAAGAGGAGATGCTGCTATGGGTTGAGTCAGGGAGGGCTTCCTGGAGGAGGTAGACCTAAGCTGGACCTTTTGCTCCTTTAAAGACTTCGAATAGGTGAATAAGAGAGGAAAGGCCATTCCAGGCATTAGAGCAATGTGAACAAATTGATGGAACAAATTGATTAACACTTGGCCTGTGCAGAGGGTTGGCTCTTCTGCTGCTTGGTAGCTCAGTGAAGAGGGGAAGAAGACAGAGGAGGACCTGCTGAGAGAAGTGCAGAGAGACTGGAGTTATGGGAAATGGCAGCAGACTGGAAAACACTGAATCCTGCCATTGGGGCACTTCTACAAAGGCCACTGACTCATCAGATCTTGGCAGAGAGACTAAAGGGCAGACTTTGGGCTTCCCATTGCCTTCTTGGTAAAGTCCAACTTAGCCCAGCTTTTGAAGTCCTTTGTGATTGGACTGAGCCAAATCTCTCTCCCACTACTCCCCTGACCACCACCTCGTCTCCCATTTTCCTCTCTAATGGAGCTTATGGTCATTCCTTTGAACATGCCATGCTTCCAGCCACCTCTGTGCCTTTGGACATGGTGGTCCCTCTGCCTGGGATGCACTTCCATCTCTCTCTCTACCTGGATGACTCCAGAAACCATCCTAGCGCTTTCTCTGACCTTCTTAAGCTGGGTTAAATGTCCCTTCTCTGTGCTTCTGAATTAGCCTGTGCTTACCTATTGTAAAGCATTTTTAAATTTTATTTATCTCCTGTACTTGGCCATAATTTTGAGAATGAAATCTGTGTCCTTTACTGCTGTGCCTGACAGACACAGTTGGAATTTATTTAACTTACTGAATGAATGAAGGAAATGAATGAATATTGAAAGAAGTGAGATTTGAGCTTGCATTTGAAATACAGAAACTTCTCTCTGAGCTTAAGCACTAACTCCTAGTTTGCTCTGGACCTGTGTACTTCTACCCCAAAGGTTCCCAGTTGGGTAGTGAGTTCTTGGGGACCATATTAAGACCATTTATCTGTCTCTTTCTAGGTATACTCATCTGCATTTTACAGGTAAGAGAAACTGAAGTTCAGAAAGGGGATATGAGTTGTCCAGTGGCAAAAGCTAGGGGCAGAATGAGAATTGGGATCCTGGTCTGGCTCTGAAGCCAATGCTCTTAATCAATTAGCTACTCATCCATTGCTTTCAGCATTCATTTATTCATTTATTCCATGACATTTACTATGTACCTAAGCAGACTGACAGAGGCTCCGCTCTCAGGAAGCTTCTAACAGAGGCAGGTAGTATACTAGATAAGTGTTAGTGAAGAAGTCCAACTTGATAGGGCTGGGACTGGGCTCTTCTGAGGTCCCTTCTGGTCCCAGTCTGTGCTTTTGTACTCCAGAACAAAGAGCACAACCAGTCCAGATCTCCTCCCAGCATGGACCGGGCTCCGTATTGCTACCAGATCAACTGGCCATGGTCTTTTCCCAGGTTTGGTCGCAGGCGTGTGATCATAAAGAAGGGGCAGAGGAGCAGCAGCTTTTATTTCATCTATCTGGGCAGAGTTGCAGTGACAGAGGATGAAGATGGCAGCAGTGCCTTTCTAGACCCCCATCCATTGTTGCTGCACAAGGGTGACTGTTTTGGGGTAAGCATGGGGGAAGGGCCTGGCTTCCTGCGGTGGGGTTGAGGTGTGAGAGGATTCCTGCTAGAACCTCTCAGCCAATTCCAGTCCTGTCTTATACTCCGTCCTGCCTTATACTCTTGTGCAAGTCACTGCCCAGAGCCCTTACCTGTCAAATGCCAATTGAGGTGGACCAAGTGATGGCCAAGGACAGCCTCTTCATTTGTGACGTTTAAGGAGTATGTTCCCTAGTAACAATATAGTGACTCCTCAGTGAGGTGTCTCCAGCTTCCTTTCTCTGGCCTGGTCAAGCTTGTTGCCTCTTTTTCCACAGGCAGCGTATTAAGAGGGAGGAATGGGCCCACAGAAGTAGGGAATGAGCAGGACCACAAGGTGGGCCAGGAAACCCACAGCCTGGGGAGGAGACATTTCGGAGGGTGGAGGGATAGGGGTGGAGATGGAAGCAGGAGAGAGAGGTGCAAGGCTGCAAGCAGGAAGCCATTGGTGGTCTCTCACTTGTCTTTGCCTTTTTCTACCCAGCAGGAAGTGAGTCTTCTGAGTTCTTCAGTAAGGAAGGCCACCGTGGTCTGTATGGAAGAAACAGAGTTCTTGGTTGTTGACAAAGAGGATTTCATTGCTAATAAGCTGGAACAGGAACTTAAAAAGAATGCTAATCATCAGTTTGAATTTTTTAGGTAACTTTATCATTAGCCAGCACCTTCCCCCTAGGTGTTTATTAGATGCCTAACTTTGTCTCAGGCCTGGTGGGAAACTCTGGGTACTAGTCTCTCTGCCTGGAATGTTCTTCAGTACCCGCTTCCCATATAACTTCTCTGTCTAGCAAACCCCTACTATACCTTCAGATCTCAGCTCAAATATCCCTTCCTTGTGGGATAGTAATATTAGAATGACTAACATTTACTGAACACTTGCTAGGCCAGGAAAGACGCTAAGCCCTTTGTACCACCTGCCTTATCTAATCTCACATTCAGGCCTGTGAGGATGTTTCATTCTCCCCAGTCTATGGGTTAGGGAACCAAGTCTCAGGATGGGGATGTCCCAGAATGTCTGATTTCAGAAGTCCCTGGCCCTCACTGCCCCACTTCACTAAGCAACCCCACTACCCTCACCCGAGAATAGAGTGTGCCCCCTCAACGCTTTTATCACACCATGTTTCCTTAAAACCCCATCCAAACTGTAGTTCTTGGTTATATACTACTTTCTTTATAGTTTATTTGCCCCATCAGACAGTATGGTGGCAAGGCCAGATCTGCCCTTTTTCCACTGTAATCCCCATCTTGTCACAGTGCCAGGCACATGCGGGTGCTTATGTTTAGTTACTCACCCTTAGGAAAAGAGTGAAAGTCAAATGAAGCGTCTGCACTGGCACTGAGAATACAGGTTGTAGGTTGCAGGCTATAGAGAAGCATGAGGGACAGAGGGTCCCTGTGGACTAGAGCTGAGAGAGAGCTTCATAAAGGGGCTAGAGCCCGAAAAGAGGTGAATTTATTCCCCAAGAGAGTAGTAGTTCATTTGTTCATACAGTGAAAAAATAGAGCTGAGTTCCTTCCAGTCTCAGCTCTTAGGCGTATGGGCCACATGACCCTAGATAGGTCATTTCACTTCTCCAAGCTTTAATTTTCCGCTCTGTGAAATGGGGATAATGATTCCTCTCTTTCAAGGTCATTTGATCCTTTGATCCTTTGTAAGGATCAAATGAGATCACAGGAAGTATGTGGTCCAGTGCTTGGCACATAGTAGGTGCTCCTTTTGTGGTGTCCCCACTTTCCTTCCAGTGTCTCCAGACCCTCTCTTTGTCTGGACGTGGCACCATCCTGTTCCCCTTTGGTGCCCTAGATGAAACTCGGTGCCCTCAGTGCCCCCAGTAATGCCCGAGTCACTAAGTTCTGAGCTCGTAATCTGTTGGAGCAGTGAAAAATCTAAGACGATTGGTAGTACCCCCATGAGGGTGTGTATAGGGAAAGGCAAACCCGAGTATGTGGTGTGTGAGGTCAGGGGAAGGGGCAGTCACTGCGGTGGGCCTTCAACCACAGGGAACAATCTGACAGAGAGAGGAGAGTCCAGATACTTCCCCAGGACTGAATATTTGGAGCCAGAGGAGATAGGCAGGAATGAGCTGTCCAAACCAAAGGTAGGGCCAGGACTGCTGGGCTAGGGGGCAGAATAGCTGGTGAGCTGAAGCGAGGCACTCTTGGGGTGTCTTAGCAAGCCACAGGGTTGAAGGGGATGGAGCTGGAGAAAGTTCTGGAGGAACAGAAATGAGAGATCACACAGCTGGTGGTTTACACTGGTGTATCTGAGGAGCAGCAGAGGGGCATGGGCTGGAGGGGGGAGCCTGGAGAAGAGGGCAGAGGGAGCCAAAGTGGGAGGTAATAGACTGGTTACAGGCTAGGGGATAGGAGGGCGTGTGAAATCTACCTCAGACATTTGCAAGAACAGGAGAACATGCTCCCTATCTGGAAATTGCTAAGAGCTGTGCAACTACTGTGGTGGAGGGTAATGGATTCTAACAGGCCTTTCCCTTCAGGAAGATGGATCTGTTTCAGTCATGGTCTGATGAGAAGGTCTGGGAGCTCGTGATCCTGGGGAAGAAAGAGAAGTTCTCGTATGGGCAGCTGATCTCAAAAGACTTTGTCAATTTGTCCTCCATCGTGTTTATCTGCAAAGTAAGAGGTCTGGGCTGGGGGTGTGAACCTGGGAAGGGTAGACCTAGTATGACATCTTGTGGCCAGAAGGACGAGGTCTGAGCCCTGTTCTGCAACACTGCAATTCACGGCCTTTTCTGAGTTCCCATTTTCTAGCTACGAAAGGCAAGTGACACATTACCTCCCTCAGCTGGTTGCTGTGAACTTTAAGCTACATAGCTGTTATATTAGAAAGAGGGGTCAACGGGGTGCCCACATCTTGAGCTCATAGATGTATTTATTTATATACAGATACATATTTAAATTATGCATTTGGCTCTTGAGTCTTAAGGATGCCAGATCACTTTTTAAGATTATAATCTTTAAATTGTAAAAATGATTATGAGCATATTATGAAACTTTCTGGAAAGAGGGAAGAAATCACGCGTAAGTTAATCACCTCAGAGTAGATTTTAAAAAAGTGGAATTGTGTGCTATCATCATTTTTATGGCTCATGCTTTCCAAAAGGAAGGATCCACTATATCTAGCTCCCAGCAACATCATCTTCACCTGTGCCGCCTTACCTCTGCCAGGCTTGCCAGTCACTTGCACAAGTTTTCCAATTTAATAGATAGCAGTTGCTGCCTCTTTTATATTTATATTTTTTCTGAGTACTAGTGAGATTAATCCTGTTTGTTTATAATCCATACTTTGCCTTTGCAAATTGCTTTATGTCCTTTGCCAACTTCTCCGTTGGTTGATAATGAAAACCTAACATTTCCTGAGCGCTTACTGTGTACCAGGCTGTGTGCTTCATTTCAGTCTCCCAGCAGTGAGACTTGAAGGAGGTTGGTATTATCATTATTCCCATTTACAGAGGAGGAAACTGAGGCAACAGAAACGTTAAGTGGCTCATCCAAGGTCACGCAGTG